AAGTGATAAAAAGATGGCATTTCATTGTGTTTTGCTTCATTTCAGAGTCTATTTCGTCATTTCATTTGATCACAACATATATCCTTCGTCATCTTAAGCGCTTGCACGAATTATCCATTATTTGAGATGATGCATTATTCACTATTCGATTAACCTTTGTCCACTATTCGATACGATCCATCAGCCATTATTCGGGATTATCCTTTATCCACTATTCGATTTTGCATAATGTCTGTTGTCCGTTCATGCTTGTCCGAGAAATTGTGCGGTTTAAAAGCATTTTTAAAATCTTCATTCAATTCATATTCTCTGAACGAAATAGGAATAATGTCTTTGATGAATTTTTTTGATGCAATATGTGAAAAATCGTTTAGCTCTCAACAGTGGCTAGAGAGGCCTTTCTCGGTCTGTATAAATTTACGCGCACTTTATCGGAACTTTGACCCATCGAAACAACTTGCCACCGAAGTGAATGGTGATTCAAATGTTTGTTGCAGCCCATAACTTGTAGTCCCGGTAATATAAGTGCCAGTTGACTTACTAAGTGATAATCATAAGTGACAATTCAGCTGTGTAGAATTGAGTGAATAGGTAACTAATGATCCAGAAGAAGAGAAAAAAACGCACATTCCTTCATCATCTTACGCGTAAGATAACGGAACAATTGTACTAATATTTTAAAATGAATCGTAAGAAGCGTTTGATGAAATCAGCTTCTTGATGATTTCGTTGTTCAGAGTTGGTGAGCGTTGTTGGAAGATGTGGTTCGAAGAGCGCAGTTGGTCAAATCTGAAGATGTCGTCGTTGCTCGTCGAAGAATGGAGAGACCTATGGTCTCTAAAGATCGACGTTATCGTCGCATCGTTGGCTTATGTCTTCGCCACAACCAACTTCCTCAATCTTCCGAAACTCATTCTCGAAAATGGTGGACGTGAGTATTGCCGTCATTATATGCAATCCTGAGAGATTCACTTTTCGTGCAATTTTCAAAATGATTCAGTTTACCAGTTGATATAAACCAAATTCGAGTTGTCTTATGGCATGATCCAAAACCAATTCGGTTGTGTCATCCACCTTTCTGCCGCATGCTAATGTATATCAATTAGAATCAACATTCATTATCCACTGAATTGTTTTCAATTCAACGATCAGTTCTGATCAGTCAAAATAGCGTGGTAATGTTGAAACTTATTGCGAATGTTCAGTTGCCTTCGTTGCTGCGTATGCAGCTGCTATACTAGCTTGTGTTCTACCGATCATTGTTATGGAACTATCCGTGGGTCAGTTGACCGGACGTGCACCAGTTCAGGCTTTATACAATATGTGCCCTATATTTCGAGGTGAGCGATTAATTTTTTGCTCTGCTTTTCATCACATAATTAAATCTTCATGTGTTATGGTTTCATTGTACTTGAAACGATACGATCCAAAACCAATTCTGAATCGAAATCTCAAATCCAAAGCCAAATCCAATTCAATAATTCATCCCGTTAACCGGACGTGCACCATATAGTTTACTAGTAATTTCACTAAATCCGATGGTTATTCAGTTTGCCTCTGCAGAAGTTGAAAATCAGTTAACTGAGAAATTTTTGTGTCCATAAAAATATCTTTATCTTACTGTTTGCATCTCGCATAAAAGTGTCGCTCTTTTTAAGGTGTTGGAATTTCGCAGATTATATTTTCGCTATTCGTAATGGCTCATATGGCCCGTTTCTTGGGCTGGCTAATGCTTTATCTCTTCCATTTGTTTTGGGCTGTGTTGGATGGTAGACCTGGTTGGTTTTAACATTGTGCTCTTATTGTGATCTACTTTTTTTATGTATTCGTATTGGTGACTGAATATTGAGCATTTAAATACTAAATATTGCTTTTTGGTTATCCCATTTTCAAAATGAGTTCAACAGTGCTTTATTTGAGGTGTGATAGCTCTTTTCAATGATATATGTTGTGATTGATGTGTTTCTGATCAGTTTTGCTCAGAAGTTGGAAGGTTTCTCTAAAAAGTTAATTCTCATTTTCATGTCTTCCTTGGCTGAACTGTAAGAATTTCCCTGAACTGCAAACGATTCCCTGCCGAGAGGCTGGATCTCTCGCGAACTTCACTCATGATGCGGCCACAAAACTGAGCACGATAAGTGCTCAATCGTCACTGGTTCAGTTCATGAAGTATGTTTTGTGTGTCTCTCATGGAAAATATTTTGGACTACTCGGAAAATCTTTGTAAATGTGATTTTTTTTCACGAAATTTCATTATCTCTAGTGTTATTGTTGAGTATTTCCATTCTCGAACCTTACTACTTTTTCAACGAAACATAATCGCTCAAATTTCTGTATGTATGAGTTCAAATCTCAGGAAATCCGAGTCATGTTTCCATTTATCGTCAATCATTTCTCACAAATGTCTTCTGATTTCATTTTCCTTGGTTTATTGATATCCGCAGTTGTTTAACTTGAATATATCCGATCAGGGTTTCATTCTTGGCTCATCAATTTCATTCAGCTTTAATTGGTGTCAATTTCAGCACGTTAGAACAACCATCACATAGTATCGTAGAGGTGGGCGATTTCCAAATCTATCTTCTCGCTGCGATGGGTGCTGTTTGGGTTTTGGTCTTTATAGCGATTTGTTTTGGTGTTCGATGGCTTGGAAAGGTATTATCGTCGATAATCATTTCTTTCATCGTCACTGATCATTTCAGCTGATGGTTATCGTTTTGAAGAAACAATCAGAATGCTCGAGTATTCAGAGTGGTTCTGTTATGAAATCTTGTTCTTCCAATAAGTTCCATCATTTATTGTGTCAGGAAGCAGAAGGCGTTTTTTGGAGGAATTTGTTAATTTGGAATTTTTATCATTTCAGGTAACTCACTTCACGTTCATATCACCCGTTCTACTGCTTTCGCTGGTTTTGGTGCG